ACGAAAAAATCGTGAACGAATTAATTTCGTCTTGCGAGGCACCACTATACCTCGGGGTTTACGGACACTTCAGGTTACAGACTCCGCTAAACCCAGAAGTAGTAACTCGGGTTAAGAACTTTACCTCAGGATAAGAACAGAACAGAACTCGTGTGGCGGCGGCGCAGCGGCAGCGGGAGGCCCCATTAGCTAAAGTGGTACCTCATGTTAAGAACAGTTTCAGGTTAAGAACGGACCTTCAGAACGAATTAAGTTCTTAACCAGAGGTACCACTGTATGGCAAGGCGATACACGATGGTGGGCTTCATCAACCTTTGGATTTGAGTCCCAGTTAGAGTCTGTCGCTTGTATTTTTATTCAGTGAGGAAAGGCTGTACGGTACTTGTTTCCCTTTTTTTGGTATGTATGAATGAAATGCCTAGGAGGAAACATGAAGTGGACACCAGGGCTTACTATATTTGAAGTGAGAAGGAGGATGAGAGCCAGTTCTCTCAGAAAAAGCTATGAAATAAAGGAAGCAAACATCCAGAATGTGTGTGGTTTGACTGAACTAGTAGAAGTGTCCACTGTGTAGCTGAGTTATATGACATATGGCCAATGGCAGGAAAGGCTTAATAAATCAAATCAATAGAGCAAAAATGTTTTAATTCAGCATATTTTAGGGTATGAAGAGATTCTGATGGATTTTTTTCCTGGCTACCTATTTGGGATGGATCTGCAACATATGGACTAATTTGTTTTTAACAGGACACTGCCCGGGTAGATTTACTGCTCCCATGAGCAGTTCCTTTCATCTTGAGTACAGCGTAGCCTCAATCTGACACATAGAAATCCCCAGCTCTGGAGTGTAACTCATTCTCTTTAAAGGCCCTCTGTAAACGCCAGCCTAGGCCTTGGCATGTTGCCAAAATAAACCCTCCGGTCTGAGGCAATGCCAGCTGTCAAGAGAGGCAGAGAGAATTGGGAGGGCCCATCCTCATTAGCCCTTCATTATTTTTTTAGACAATTCACATAATTGCCCTGATTTGAGTCATACCTTCAAAATCTTGAGTCTGCTAGCTGCATGAAAGAATCTCAAGAAGCTTTTGTCTTACTAATATGGATGGGTCAGTAAAAGGAAAGACCGTTCAAGAAAGAGTGGTTTCAGGATCTGTTTCCCATGGGGGTCATGTTGACTGCACAACCTTCTGCAAGTTCGGAGAATGCACAGTGGGTGCCAGTACTTGAACTGCTGCACTCTGTAAGTTTGGTTCCTCCATTTCCTTCTGCTTCATTTTGCATATTTCAAAGGCAACCAAGTGAAAGGTGGTGGGGAATAATAAATATTGCAGGCATGTTTCCAGTGTATACACGGTACCTAAAAAGCAGAGACAACAAAGGTCTGTATAGTTAAAGCTATGGTTTTCCCAGTAGTGATGTAGGGAAGTGAGAGCTGGACCATAAAGAAGGCTGATCACCAAAAGAATTGATGCTTTTGAATTATGGTGCTGGAGGAGACTCTTGAGAGTCCCATGGACTGCAAGAAGATCAAACACATCCATTCTTAAGGAATCAGCCCTGAGTGCTCACTGGAAGGACAGATCCTGAAGCTGAGACTCCAATACTTTGGCCACTCATGAGAAGAGAAGACTCCCTGGAAAAGACCCTGATGTTGGGAAAGATGGAGGGCACAAGGAGAAGGGGACGACAGAGGACGAGATGGTTGGACCAGTGTTCTCGAAGCTACGAACATGAGTTTGACTAAACTGCGGGAGGCAGGGAAGACAGGAGTGCCTGGCATGCTCTGGTCCGTGGGGTCATGAAGAGTCGGACACGACTAAACGACTAAACAACAACAACATGAGAGGGTAGGGATGCAGGAGGGATCCAGAGGTTTAAGCAAGTTGATAGTGTTGGTCGGCCTGGTTCTGTTTACCAAGGCTTGTGTGTAGGAAAAGCCTGTGTGAGATGGGTGGGTGAAAGGCACGGTTAAGGTGGGTGTGGGAGCGAAGCAGGGTGGCATCAAAGTAAAGGCACAGGTTAGTTGATATCTGTTGGACCTAAAAGGTCCTAGAGCAGGCCTAGGCAAACTCGGCCCTCCAGATGTTTTGGGACTACAACTCCCATCATTCCTGACCACTGGTCCTGTTAGGTAGGGATGGTGGGAGTTGTAGTCCCAAAACATCTGGAGTGCCGAGTTTGCCTAGGCCTGTCCTAGAGGAAAGTAACCTAGAGAGCCTCTGCAGTGTCATGCTTGAAGTGTTGGACTAGTTGGCGCAGGTTCACATCTCAAATCAGCTATGAGCATCTCAGCCCAACCTACCTCATAGGATTGTAGCAAGAGGAGAAAGGGAGAAGTATGTGAGCTCCTTGGGAGGAAAGACAGGGTCTAAATGTAATTAATTAGGGTAAGAACATAAATAAGAAAAGCTCTACTCTGCCAAACAAAGGTGGACTTCCTGCATTGGGTTGGTAGCCATTGAGAGACTCTCCAGTGATCATCATCACATCACAGTTGTTGCTTTGAGGGGTTTTTTCTTACAGTCGAGCAGTATATGAGATTTTGTGAAATAAATAAATATATTACGGTAGCTTATTCTGTCGCTGAGCTCTGTGCTGTGTGTAGAAATGATTCCTTTTGTCTGTGCTGGCTCTCCTACCAATCAATTTCACTGAATGATCCTGAGCTTTCGTATTACGAGTGGGATAAAAACCACTCTATATCTAGTTTTTTTCAACACCATGAACAACATGATAAATCTCCATGTCTCTCATTTCATTTCTTCTCTTCCTCTCCCCAAATTCTTCAGCCCTAGATGTTTTAATTTTTTCTCGTAGTGAAGGTGCTCTCTGGATCATGGTGGTCACCCTTTTCTGCATCTTTTCCAACTCTAAAACAGCCCTTTTTGAGATGCTGAGAACAGAAATAAGTAATATTCTAAGTGTGACTGTACTTCATATTAGTATAGACTTGAAAATTTTAACTGAATTTTTTATTTTCCCCAGAAATATATATATATATAGAGAGAGAGAGAATAAAAATACAACAAAAAGTGTGTTTTCAGTTTTGTAGAATTACTTCCAAAAATAACTTGAACAAATGACACTCTCTAAGACAAAATTTGTTCTCTTTTTCAGCTATAAAAGCTTCAAATACCAGTTTAGTCCTGCATATCAAGAGGCTGCTATCTTCTTTATATTCCATTGATGACAATCTTTAAGGTTGTTACAAACCCAATAACTTTTTCTCAGTCTCGCCTGTGTTCTAGGCAAGGAGCACACAAGGACACAGCTCTACAGCTTTGGGATTTTAGCCATTGTAAATTATACATAACACAAGAACATTCATGCTTGGCTTATGGTGGGAAATGTAATATTAGCCTCTTTTTGTTAGTAAGCCATTACATTGTTGTTTTTCTGCAATATGGTTTCCTTTGATTCCCCCATTGTTCTTTGTAGTATACCACAGCCACATCAGATCTCTGCATGTTTATTCACAAGCAAGTCCCATTGTGTTTTAATGGGGGCTTACTCCCTAGTAATTTATTTTACAATTGTAGTATAAGAATCCACACATCTCACTCACATGGACGGCTCAGCTTACTATTACATTTATTCAGTAAAACGTGTTCAGCTATTTCAGAATCCCATCATTGTACTAGTGACATCCATGCCATTTACCCAATCCACCAAGTGCTCCATAGAGACAAGCTCTATTTAGCATTGATAGATATTACCATTGTGCAGCAGCCAAGGATTAGTGCTTTTAGTCCATTAAAAATGTTCCAGTAAGAACCTTGCGAAAAACAAATGTGATGTAATAAAGTTAGAACTATGTTACAGATCAATCTAGGAAAAATGATTCTCTGGCTTAGAAAATAAGTTCCTAATACTAATGAGGAGTCTACATAAAATTCTTTTTTTCAAACATCTGGAGTACAAAACACATGGAAAGGCCAACGATTGCAACATAACTAACTTTGTTGTGGTTTAGCACAAAGTTCTGATTTTAATAGCACATAAAATAATGCTTGGTAAAGATCGTTATTTTGCTTGTTCACGTAAAATCCATACCTCAACACACAGACCAGGCTGGTAAACATGTAACAATAAGCTAAGCAATGGTTTAGTGCGGACATACAATGGCAAAGATGTTCTATGCTCCTCTCCCAATCATCCTCTGCTGCTGTACTCTGAACTGAGCCATGGTTTGTCTTAGCAGGTCATCCAAACTTGGGTTCATGGTTTGTCTCACACCAGGCAAACCACAATCTGTAACCTAAGCTTTCCCCCCAGGTGTTTACATGTAAGTAACAATAAAATTCACGCTTTGGGGTTATACTTGTCATGCAAATTCATAAAGCCATTGGAGCGATGTACACAGCAAAAACAAAAACACTGAAACACAAGTTCTGAGAACAATAAAATCAGTTCAGGAAGCTCCAAAATAATAAGACCATACATACAAACTCTAAAAGCAGGGGGGGGGAGGGAATTCATCAAATATAAAATTAATTAATGTGCTGCAACCACCCAAGAACAAAAATATTATCATGTGTTTGTAAATATAGCACATTTTGTGTAAATATAGCACATATCTTGGTCTTTAGTGTTGTCTATTTTAGTTTGTGCTGACATTCTCTGATAAAATTACATCTATTTACTTCTTGACATCTCTTTGAAGCGATACTGGCCTTAGTATGAAAATGTTTTTCATATTTATCAGACACAGTACTTGGCGTTAGATCTAATTACAGGCATTCGCCCCCACCTCCCCTTTTGTGGAAATCTCCCTTAGAATATGAAACAAAGGCGGGCAGTTTGGAATGCCTGGCTTGAAAACTTTGAATGCAATGCAAGTGTTTTATCTGCAAATTTACAGTCCATTTTTTTCACGAGTCTCTACTCTCAAACTTCTAACAAAGAAGCTGCTTCCATAAAACTATTTGTGGTCATACGTATTTGTATTGTTTCCACATTTGTAAATAGAAACAGAAATCTAAATGTATTTCATTAGAGAAAAATTTAATTAAAGGGCTGGCATTTTTTTTTTGAAGTCACTTAATGAAGCTGAATCCCTATTAGTGTGAGAAATATGATTCTTCAGCTCTGTATTGGCCAAAAGCCCATTTTTCTGTGCATTTATACCTCCAAAGATAGAAACTTTGGAAGCCGAGTGAAAAAGTACTTCAAGGGACAGGCAAATGATGGAGAAGTAGTACTTCTACAAAAAAGTAAGTTTGGGAGATTTAGTTTGAGGAAGATGAATGTGATAAAAGTTATTAACAAAATATTCAGGATTAAATATAATTTAATTTGCTAAAAAGATGTGCCATTTTCCTCGAAAGGATTGCTTCTTATGTTGCCGTATCTCTGAATATAACTATAGCATCTGCATTTTCTAGAGGGATAGAAGCTTGTTAGAATAAATACAAGGAAACTTTAACTTCCAACTGGAATTGGCCTGGGACATATCTGCAATTCACACCTATAATAAAGATTTATGAATGTGTTCAGTGTTTCCTGGAAACAGGCGAGAATGTCCCCTTTGTGCATTGGTCATGGATCCTGCAGTCACTGTGCAAATCAATGTACCTTTTGTGGGATGTGGCAGAAAAGTATTCAAAGATATATGTGCTTTAGTGCTTTTCTTTAAAAATAAAAAGCACTTGAGGGTGGGACAGAGGTTGTTGGAAAAGGTAGCTTTGTATCTGGTTTCTTCTGAAAAGGTCACATATTTGCTACACAAATTATTTGCTCCTGTTTGCCAAAGTGCAACAAACAACCATGTTTCAAAAATGGCCAGGCATGGACTGAAAGCACAGTGGTACCTCGGGTTACATACGCTTCAGGTTACAGCCTCCACTAACCCAGAAATAGTGCTTCGGGTTAAGAACTTTGCTTCAGGATGAGAACAGAAATTGTGCTCCGGCGGCGGCAGCGGGAGGCCCCATTAGCTAAAGTGGTGCTTCAGGTTAAGAACAGTTTCAGGTTAAGTACGGACCTCCGGAACGAATTAAGTACTTAACCCAAGGTACCACTGTATGTTCCTTTTTTATCATCAGTTGTGTCATAGGTACAGCCAAACTTGACGTCTCGGCTGCCGGACGTTTTGGAAGTGAATGCTTCTGTTTTCGAACACACCTTGGAAGTTGAACAGCTTCTCAATTTCCCCCATTGAACTTGCTGACGTCCCTTAGATCCTCGGTTTTCGGACGTTTTGGAAGTCGAACAGACTTCCTGAACAGATTTCTGAAAATCAGGCACATCACCTCACGCTGCTCTGATGTCTAAAACACACTCCTCATATGTCCACACATCCTTTTTGTTTGATAATTGTCCTGATAATTGTGAGTATTATTGTACTTCTTAAAAAAGAGCATGCTTCAGAAATAATAATAGAAATGGTTTGAGTTTTGTTTGTTTTTTAGTTGAGCTTCGAGGTTCTGTCTAGTGGTTAAGAGTGGTGGACTCATAATCTGGTGAACCGGGTTCGTGTCTCTGCTCCTCCACATGCAGCTGCTGGGTGACCTTGGGCCAGTCACACTTCTCTGAGGTCTCTCAGCCCCACTCACCTCACAGAGTGTTTGTTGTGGGGGAGGAAGGGAAAGGAGAATGTTAGCCGCTTTGAGACTCCTTCGGGTAGTGATAAAGCGGGATAGCAAATCCAAACTCCTCTTCTTCTTCTACTTTAACCTATAGGTATAGTGTCAGAATCAAAATGAATTGCTTAAAAAACAACTATTACACACTCACAGTAGACAGTTATAACAGACAATATTTTAATACAGTTACGGTCAGAATGAACATGGCTTGCATCATTTTTCGCCCCAGGAATGGAGACTGAGCTTTAGGAACATTGTTGAAAGTTAAAAGCATTACATTGGGTACATTTCAAGCAGGGAATTCTTCATCAAATTGTATCAGCTGAAGATGATGCAATATGAAAAAAGTGTGTCCTTAGGCATTTAGTTCATGGACATTACTCTTTTAGGTTAGGGGTGGCTAGCCTCTGGACCTCCAGATGTTCAGCTGCCATAATTCCTGACAACTGGCATGGACTGATGCGGGTAGGAGTTCAACAACATCTGGTGTGCCAAGGTTCTCCATCCCTGTTTTAGGTAAAGAAATTATTTACCATTATGGGAAATAAAATTTGTGGAAAATATAAGTATGCTTAGAACCCATGTATATGCCAGAAGTATTCTTTTAGTGAGTAGTCCATTTTGGGCAGGTAACTTAAAAGTTTAATGTCTGAATGTATGTTGTTTTGATGATTATATAAATAAATTACTAAAACTACATTTTTAATTTTTATACATAAAGATATACAAAAACCCCTTTATTTTCCCTATATTGGTGACACAGTTCCATGGATAATGAAATATATTTCCTTAATTCTGAAAAGTAATGATAAAAAAATCAATATTCTTTCATTTTACCATTTGCTTGAAACTAAATTATAAGCAGGGCCACAAAAAGATTTCTGTTTACCACTCTTTGGTGGGGAAAGTGTTGTTCTCATATTTAAATATAGAACATTCATGAGCTATTAGTAATCTATTCATTAGATCATAAAGTGAGCTTCATCTTTCCCAAACTACTTTTGTTTTTCTTGTGTTTGGGAGTGAAACAAATGAATTGCTGTTGTGAATCACATTCTGTGCATCACTCCTACACAATACTACTTTCCCCCAACATCATACAAACATGTTTTCTATGTTGCAAGATCCAGACAGAGTATTTTTAGGAAGCTGTTAGAAATATAATCCTGCTGTCAAGAGCTAATCCCTCATTGAGAGTTCAAGTGGCAGATTACTTGAAGCGTGGTGTTTCATTGTCCGTAAACTGTCATCTGATAACTCACTAGGTAGTTTGGGGAACCTCCTTGTAGGGTCAGAGAGACCATTCTCCCCACTACAGATTCATTCTGTTTTTTCTTCCCTTTGTTTTGGATTTTCCTTATTAGGACTTGCTGAAATGCAGTTTGAAGCCAGGCACACAACAGAATTCTTCGGTTCCTTTGTCACGCCCAACATGATAAGGCAAAGAAATGAGCGTGATGACTTAGCACAACTTGTTTCTTTCTCAAGACTTAACGTATTTTTCGCTCCATAAGACGCACTTTTCCCTCCTAAAAAGTAAGGGGAAATGTGTGTGCGTCTTATGGAGCGAATGGCACTGCGCAGCTCTCCCTCTCTGTGCAGCACCTCTTCAGCGAAGCGGGAGGAGAAACGGAAGGGGCTCCGTTTCTCCTCCCGCTTCTCAAGAGAGGTGCTGCGTAGAGATGGAGAGCTGCGCAGAGAGGGCCACCTTAACCTCACTGGGTTGTTGTGAGGTTGTTGTGTGATAGCCCTTGTTTAGCCCCCTGAGCAACTTGACAAACAGACAGGAGAACATTATTCTTGTTTTCCCTTTTCAATCAGTCTTGGATTCCATCACTGCCCAAACCATGTGCCTCTCTCTCTATCTCTCCAAACAGCCGGATGATCCCATTTTTTTCCCTGGGGCTTTCTGTGAGAGAATGAAATCCAAGCACTAATGCCTGTTAAAATGCTTCTATTCACTTGCAAAATCAAGCTTTTGAAAAGAGGCTCTACAGAAATAAAAGATTCAGAATATTTTTTTTCTTGTCTTCCTCCTCTAAAAACTAGGTGCGTCTTATGGTCGGGTGCGTCTTATAGAGTGAACAATACGGTAGTTTAATAAAACCATTTTGTTTCCTGTCTTGGTTCTCGATAGGCAACCTCTGAAAATCCCTTTGAGAAGAGGCGGAAGCCTCCTTTGGCCGAGATGTCACGGCACCACAGCCGGTTTGAAAGAGATTATCGCACAGGATGGGACCGCCGGGAGTGGAGCACCAATGGGAACCACGTGAACAGCAGTAACTGCAACAGCACAGTGAACAGCAATAGCAACAATAGACCAGGGCTTCTGCCTGTGCCAATTGTACCCTCGCGTCTGCATGCCCCAGCCACAGTTGCTTGTACCACGGTGAACAGTGATGTGATAACCACGCTTGTGGCCAACTCTTCTGCAGCTGCAACAACCAAAGTAAGAAGGAGGTCTTTGTACTCTATATTGTATTAGCTAAGGAAAACATCTTGAGAAGATACCACCTTTTCCTTTCAAATCATGTTAGCTTCTGATAAGGTATTTGACAGTGTGCACTGGGATTTTGTTTTTTTGCTTGTCAGTGCCATTGATGCCTTCAAGCTTCCTTATATAGTTTCTCTGAGTAGTAAGCCCTACTGTGCATTTTTAAACTTATATTGTCTAAACATTGCAAAGGTTGGTAGTTAAAAAGAGAAACTGTCTTGTGCATAAGCATAAAATGTACATCACTATCTCCCCCTTCCTGTATATACGGCTGTCTTATCTTGTTCTCTTCTTTAGTTGCCTGCTCATACCCTTTATGTTGCAGGATAACTTAAGCAATGAGAATGATTATCTTTTTGGCCTGAATAGGATACAGTAAAGTGTAAATACTAGCTGTTTTACTACTTTGTGATTCCTACTTAAAGCCTATTGAAAAAGCCTAGGTACCACTTGTTAGCACAAGTCATCGACATTTCTCCCCAACAGATACACAAATTCTTATCTTAATATCAATAACCCTTACAACTTCCTGTTGCTATCAGAGATGCTGTTATCTCCCAGCCTCTCAAGCTGGGAGGGGGGTCAACATTTTATTCTGCACCAAGTTTATTGCCATGTCTCTTGACTTTGTCCTCTTTGACAGCTCATTTTCTCCCTAAAACCCCCATCCACGTTCTAATTGTGGCTCATGTAAACAGTTTCCACCATTTCCATGTTCAACTGTAGGAGGAAAAGGCCACCCTGGCACTCAGTTTGAAATGTCAGTGCCATTAAGCAACAGCTTTCTGCAAGTGTTGTCATATTTTACCAATATATACGCTTGAGGCAATTGAAATGTGGCTTGCAAAGAAAGTGCAAAGTTCCATGAGGAATATGCAACCTGTCTGTTATGGAGATTCCATTTTTAGTTCGTTACTTTTAGGCAATTGGGACAATTTCCCCCATAGTTCATAAATGTGCTTTCCAGGGTGCTCATTGTCACATGTTTCCTGCTTTTGCGGTTGTTGATTGCCATGCAAAAGTAGTCCCAATCTTCTGAACTATCTCTGCTAACATTAGTGTTTTTGGTTGTCTCTGCAATACTCCATGTGAGTTCTGTGCCTGTGCAGGTATCTGGATAAACTCACTAGAGGGGTTTGTCCTCTCTGCATATGCTCTAGGAGAGTGGACAAACAGCTTGTCTCTTCTGTCTGCTGTGAACCTTCACTGAGGACCTTCTCTGAGCTTTTTTCTTTCTTTCTCTAACGCTAGTTCCAGAGCTTTTCTTTATAGATTTGTGTAACATGGTGTCACCACTTTTGTTGTGTTGTGGGAATAATTTGGTGTGGGGATACCCTCCTTGAACTACTGTGATGCATGTGTAATATTTTAAGTGTATTGGCTGGAGAAGAATGAATGGATGCCTGTGATGGATATGGTCAGTGTCATGTTTTAGCAGGGAAAGAACAACATATAATATTCCCCTCCATGCCAAAGATTTATAAATCAAGCTAGAAGAAATAGTTTAATCTCTTATGTTTTTTATGCGGTAGGGTGAGGAGTACATTGCAGAGACTAGCAGGAGCCAACTTCTAAATATATTTTATTTAGCAAAGTTTAGATACCACTTACTTGACAGATTTCTAAGTGGTTTAAAAAGAACAATCAAAGTAAATATGAAAAATAAGTTAACATTATGTATTCAACAATTATAAGAAACAATAAGACAATAAAATATAAATGAGAAAGCCGATTTCTTAATTTTCCTATTTGTTCTGCTACTAAGTTTTCCTGGCTTCCTTGGTTAAAAAGTTTTTAAGCCAAGAGTTGTTGATTTTAATTAGTACACAGTGGCTTATTTGTTCCTTTCTAGCTTATAAAAATGGATAAGAAAGTTATTTAAAAAAACATATTGGAGAATAAAACGAAAACCAGCAGGTTTTTAGAAGGTTTTCAGCAGTGGAATGGGAATCCATATGTGCCCCTGATTTTTTTACTTTGCGATCAACAGAATGTTTTCCTAACATTTTTAAAAATAAATCTAAGTGCCAAATGAAACAGATCCAGAAAGGGAGACAATAAAGTTATTTAAAGAAAGCCAGAGTCAAGCTTAAAAGTTTTTATTGCGTTTCCATACCACATTGGTTCTACCACCCACGGTAAAGAAATAAGCTAATACTGTAGAGAAAACATTTTGGCTGAGGTTTCTAATACGGACATCTTTTCTTAAAAATGACCAAAGCGTTTTGACATTATTTCCATTTGTTAACAGCCAAACTGAAGTACTCTTTCACTAAGCTGGGACATTATGTAGTTGCTGTTTGGATGTGTTTAGTCTGGAGAAGATTAGAAGTCAAGTTGCAAAGCCAACACAGTGGTTTCATTTGTCTTGACCTCTGCTCCTGGATATTGTACATAGAGTCCATCTGCTGGCTGTTGTTGATCTGTTTTTGCACCAGATGTTTCAGTCCTTTTTGAGGCTGAACTGTGATAATAAACACTGCCCTTGTTTTCAAAAAGAAGCTAGTGATATAAACTGTGATTCTCCAGACAAAAAAAAAGCCCTTTCCATAATAAGCAATATATGATAATCTTGGAAGAGCTTTTCACATACAAAAAATTGTCACCACACTATTGTCATTAGCATGCTCACTTGGGAATTAAAATGAAAATATTATGAGAGAAGCAGATTATCACTTCTTCGTGTTTCAACATAAAGCTTGTGTGGCTTCCTGCTGTGTTTACTGACCAAATCTCAGATTGAAAATTGCTTATGTTAAAGGAGGAGGAACTCTGTAAAATATTTGGGCATCTAAGTAGCTCGCCACAGGCCAACTGACAGGTGGGTTGAGACCACGCACTTGTAAGTGACCTGATGTCATGCTTCAAAATGTACATGCATGCATTGGAAGTCTGGATTCCCCCTAGGGAGATTGGGGATAGCTGATTTTTATTTTTATTTTTTTGGTAGCTATTCTTCGTTTCCTAGTTTTTCATCTTTTTACAGATTGCAGATTTTTCTCAGCTCTTACACTGCTTAGTCATCCTAACAAGTGATAGGATGAATCTGTCTCTCAGAATGAGATTTACTGTTGTTGTTTCTCGTTATAGAGGCATTGCCTAGTTCTGCGTTGAATGTCACCTTACCTATGAAAAACAAATTTACTAAGTATTTTATAAGAACATAAAAATAGCCTTCTGGGTCAGGCAATGGCCCATCTAGTCCAACGTCCTGTTCTCACTGTGGCCAACCAGAGACCTGTGAGAAACCAGGAAGCAGAAAATGAGCACAAGAGCACTCTGCTCTCCTGTGGTTTCCAGCAGCTGGTATTTGGAATATTTTCTCTACAGTGGGCCACTAATGTGTCCTGGAAACTTGGTATTGGAAGGCAATGTGATTATGGTTTTCATCTCTTCCTAGGGCTGCTTCTTTTCACATGTTTACAGCTGTACAGATTGTTCAAACAACATATTTAATTGCTCTATCAAGCAATTGACCTTTCGAATTGAAAACCAGTTACTTTTGGTTGACATGTCTTTAAATCACTAATAGCCAGTGTGTTGCCCTCCAGGTGTTGTTAGATTACAACTCCTATCATCCTTGACTATTGACTTTGCTGTCTAATGCTGATGGGAATTGGAGTCAAAAACATCTGGGGGGTACCACATTGTCTATCTCTGTCTTAAGCAGCCTATGAATTATTTGTGCCTTATGTTACGGGGGTTTGGATTGGATTTCAGCTGTATATTTTATAGTGGATAATGCTTTAATTTTTGTCTGTACTTAAAAAGGCTGTTTTTTTTTAAGCCAAATGAAAACATCTAGAGGTTTGTGCTTGTGCTTGATAAATTAAACTTCCTCTGCACCTCAGGGTTTCTTTGTTTGTTTGTTTCGATTATTAACTCAAAGAACTGATGTTCCAATTAATTTATATATGCTTGTTTTGTTGACTTGCAATGTGTTTATCATCGTTTGAAAGAACCAAGAGGCCTGTCCATACTCCAGTCCTAGCCCTATTTGAAGATGAAAGCCCTTGGTTTCAAGCACCAATTTACATCAGGAAGCACTTAGAAGATCACAAGTGTGACATGTTTAGGTATACAAAGACACTGTTTCCAGGCTTTGGCACTTGGATCAAAAATGCTTTGACTTCAGAAAGGGGAGAGAGCTGTAGTATCCGGCAAGTCAGTCAAAGTGTGTGTTAGCCAAGAGCTATTTACTTTGAATCTTTTACATCTTTTTCACTTTTTCTCCCTGCATGTATCTTCAGGTTTTCTTTTTAAGTATTCTTTAATCTATCTGTTGATTCAAATGAAATTGTCTGCATATAAAAGACACGGCTGTCATCTACATTTGTCTGCTTTCAGAGAAAGCAGGCATCTTTCCCCGTCACCCTTCTTCCGCAAGGGAAAAGCGAATTCCATTTTTAAAAGCCTCGTCCCTAAGTTCCGTTTTGCAAAGTGAGACGTTAACAAATTCTAACATCGCTTTATAACTGAACTTCCAGAATATCAGTTTAATATATATTTTAACAGCACTCTTTATCAAACCAAGTTTCATGGATTTAACTTCCCCACAGGGAATCGCAGCTGGGTTGCCCTGTCTAGCTAACCCCACTCAAATAGTTCAAAACCCCAATTGCCCACACTGACAGTTGGTCCTTCTCCCATTGGGAGTCAAATCCCTATCTGCCACAGGTTCCTGTCTAACCCACAGATAATCCTATCTGAGCCCACTGAGACAGTCAGAGAGCTCATCTGCCTACCCAGTCAGAAAGCCCCTATCTGCCCCTTATACTGTCATCATATAACTTAAATTCCATACTCTCTCTCTTAATTGGCTGTTGTTCTCACCAGTTCTCATTGGTTGCTGGGTCATCAGGAGGCAAACTCAGGGCTTGTTTGTCACAGTGACCTTTAGCATTCAGTGTGACTGTATCTTATATTGACAGTTAATATAGTACAGTTCAAAGAAA